TGAAGGAGTTGCAATTCCATTTGGAACATCTGAGCCTTTTCCTGACCTTTTCGCATCATGGCAACAGTTTTTTTCCCCTCACACAATGAACTATTTACTTGCTGAGGTTGTATGGCCCATGTGTGACAGCCCAGAAATTATCCTTATATCCATCAACTCCATGTGCCCACAAGTAAAGAGCTCTTTCTTTGAGAGGATCTTGTCTTTAATGTCAAGGACAAGATCTGATGAGCAATAGCAGTCTCACAATTGAAATCTCTGGAAGCTTTAAGCCTATCTATATGTCCATGGGGTATCTCTGAAACCATAAACATCTTTTAAAAGTCCACACAACTAAACTAGAAAACAGAAGTGAACGTCTTCATTTGGCCTGGAAGTTTTAACATGAAAGGTTTTTGTAGTGAGGGACTCTGTCTTCTTTGACGAAATGTCTGTTTAGTGCATAATTCTGGATAGTCCTTGAATAAGGTCAAGCACGATTCATAAAAGGAAAAACTGATAAGATGGACTGCGTCAAAATTTAAAACTTTTGCTCTGCAACAGGCTCTGCTGGAAGCATGAAGGGACAAGTTACAGAGTGGGAGAAAACATTTGCAAACCACAAATGTGACAAAGGACTGGTATCTGGAATACGTGATGAACTCTGAACACTCAACAGTAAAAAAAATAATTCAACTAGAAAATGGGTAAAAGACACAAATAGACATTTCACCAAATGGTAGCAAATAAGCACATGAAAAGATGTTCAACATCGTTAGCCATTAGGGACATGCAAATTGAAACCACAATGTGTACCATTACACATCCATCCTAAGGGCTAAAACATAAAAGAGTGACAACACCAAATGCTGGCAAAGACACAGAGAAACTGGATCACTCAGGCCTTCCTGGTAGGAATGTAAAATGGTATAGCCACTCTGGAAAATAGTTCACCATTTTCTTTAAAAACTAAACATGCACTCACCATTTGTTGTCAGTGCCATTGACTTGATTCCAACTCCTAGCGCACCTGGGGATAGCAGGGCGGAACCCTGCCCGGTCTTTTTGCGCCATCCTCTCACCTTCCGGCGCTCTATCAGACAATGCTCTACTGCTATTTATAGGGTTTTCATGGCCTATTTTTTGGAAGTGGGTGGCCAGGTCCTTCTTCCAAGTCTGTCTGAGTCAGGAAGCTCTGCTGAAACCTGTCCACCGTAGGTGACCCTGTTGGTATCTGAAATCCCAGTGCCGTAGCTTTCAGCATCACAGCAACACACATTGCCTGCTTGTAGCACTGGAAGATGAGAGGATGGCTCAAAAAGACTGGGCAGGGTTCCGCTCTGCTGTACACAGAGTTGCTAGAGTTGAATCGACTGGATGGCACTAACAGCAAACCAGTCAACATGAGGGACAGGCCCTGGCCATGTCTTATTCATCTGGCGGGCTCCCAGCCTCGAAACCTTACTAATTGAAATCTTAAGCCTAAAAGCCAACATTATTAACTACTTCATTAGTTGGAATAATTTACTAAAAATTTTTGGGAAGTCATTTCATAAATAATGCAATTTCTTCCTATCCGTCTTCATCCCAACAATCTGTATCAAACCTAGCCTGAGAAGGTGAGTCACACAAGTACTGCTAGGTGTTCCAGAGGCTGCCCAAGGTCAATGAACACTTCGCCCACACCTGGCTTGAATTTCAGATTCCTTTAATATTCGCTGCCCTTCTTTCCAAGAAATTTGTTGGAGGCATCGCTTCAGCTTGCTGCAACAATTAGCCTCTTAGACCGAACTGTTAGAAGAAAAGAGAAAGGGACTGAATCTTTCCTCTCATGAAACATGGACCCGATTTCACCTGTACAGTGGGTCCTGCTGGGAGGATTTTTGGAATGTCCCTCAGTTGCATGATTTTAAGTATTATCCTGCCCTATTTTTCAGCTTCAGCCTACTCTTGAGACTTTTTCTTTTAAATTAAAAGCATCACTTAAAATGTGTTATCAGAGAAACTTTAACATAATGAGAAAAGGCAGCAGGTTTATCAGACAAGAGAATCTGCTTTTCTTCAAAGATGCTGGTTTTATTGCATTAAGGGCTGTTTGCTCAAAGAGATCTGAAGAAGACACAGGGGTTAACCCTGTGCATCAAGTCCTCCTTCTCACGGAGTCTATTTTCTGTTTGATTTTTACACTGCAAGTATCACAAGTACAGCCGTGGCTCCACCAACACTAATAGAATAGGAAAGATGAGCTACCTTTAATATTCGCTTTTGGTTTTTGTTTCCAAGAAATCACTTTTGGGTAAGATGAAGTTAGATATGCATGCTAGTGAATGTATGTAAATCCATCTTACCATAGAGAAGGACATAATTCTTTTACCGTTAAGCAAAATAGAAGAGTGAGGAGTCATTTCCCTCCAAACAGAGACTCTTCTGGATTTAAGCGTACACAGACACGAAGCATTAAACTCAGTTAAGGACAACAAATGAAAAACCAAGCTGTGCACAAAGATCCCCTCTCACCCCATGATGTAAAGTTTCCAAGCAGCAACATCTGGAGACCTCACCGTCCACATGATTTAAATAGAAGGCGCAGAAGCAGGAAACCATACTCAGCCCCCGCTCTTTGTGAACTCAGCTTGCGGCCGAGCCAATTCACTCTGCTTCTAATTGGCAATTCTGCAGCCCCAACTGAGTACCTCATTTGGTTCTCACAAGCCCTGGAGCCCTTTCCCCACGTCGACCTTCGCTCAGGCCATTCCTGCTGCCCGAAATGTGGTTCCCCTGACTCCTTGCCCGCTGGCTCCCTCTCAGACTCCAGGTTTCAATTAAAGTAACATCCCTTCCTATCCCGCTCACTCCAGAGTCAGTCTCTGACTCAGCACCCTGTATCTGAGTCCTGTTCCAAGGTTTGACATCTAATAGATAAATATTGGTGAAATTAATAAATGCTTCCTCCAAAAAATTTAATAAATTACTACACGCTTCCTCCAGCTAAAAAAGTAGATATCCTACCATTCCTTAAGAGAATTTTAGTGACTAATAAAAATGGACCGTATTTTTAAACACACACACCCACATGATAATCAAACACAAAGAATGGAATGATTAGCTCAAGCCAGTGGGGATCAGAGGCTGCCTTCCAGTGGTGATGCTCAGGCATAATTTTAAGTAGGTGCCCCACTGAGTAACCTGTGACCCCGGCTTAACCCCTCTGTCTCACAGCTGATCCCCCCTCCCAGCACTTGCGTCTATTCTGCATCCCCTGCACCCATTCAATAGGCACCTTTAGGAATCTTACCAACCTCTTCAGGTAGATTTTAAGCTCTTGGAGAGCAGGGCCCTGTTCTAATATTAACAGCAAACGCTGTTGAGCATTTCTTATGTGGGAGTCATAATGTTACATGCCTTCCTGTATTAATACTATATGCGATGGAGCCACAGTTTGAACCCAGGCAGAATGACCTCAGAGCCTGTACGCACACTCTTCAACTTGCATCTGACACATCTCAGGTGTTTGCATGACGTTTGGCAAGTTGTCTCAGTTTCCTTCTCTGTAAAATGGGGACGACACGGTAGTCACCTCAGAGGGTTGTTGTGAAGACTAAAGAAAGTGGATACCTGTAAAATGCTTAGAAGGTGGATGGCACACAGTAGGTACTCATTAAATGTTAGTTGTTGTTATTGTTGTTTATAGGAAAGTACCCACTCCCGGGAAACCCCTCAGTCCATGTTTTAGCACGGAAAGTCCCGTGTCCTGGGCAAAAGTTCAAAATGGCTCCAGATGGCAGGCATGGGACGGGAGTCAGCTGGTACCCTGTGTTCGCTCTCCAGGGCCCTGCCTCTCTTCCAGACGCCACCTCGAAATTCCCTCGTGTCCTGTAATTGATCTTCTGCCACAGTATTTCAGGAAATGGGACTCCTTAGTCAACAGGTTGTAGCGCTGAAATCATTACCTTTTAGGTACAAACGTTCTTCTAGGGAGACCATCGCCCTGTTTTCCTCATTTACTGTCAAGTTTTATAACCATCTCTGTTTCTAAGAGCAAACTATTTGATGTTTGAAGATACCTCTGACAAGGCTAAAACGCCGCGCCTACCTGAACTAAACTAGAGCATCCAGCGCCCCCTGCCGCCTTTTCGTAGGAAAGGCAGTCAAGAAAAGCTCGTTTAATTGACCGTGAATTTTTGCTTATCCGGGTCTAAAGAGAAATCGGTATAAATATCCCAAATTTGAAATTAGATTTACGTTTTATCTTTTCTTGAATTCACCCCCTTGAACTTCAATTGTTTGCTTTGCCTTTGCAAAAATTGACTTTTGTTTAATGATACTTCTCCTATTTATATTTGCTTTCCTTGAATTCGCTTCTGGCTGTTTTGCTTTTGGGATTTGAACTGGTTTTGTCTCACCCTTGGCTCTTTTTCACTTCCGTGAAGCCCTGAGACCAGCGCGCGGGGGAAGAGGCTGGGGCATCAGCGGTCAGAGGGAACCACATTGACTCTAACAAAACTTAAGACCACGGCACCCCAGGCTAGGAGGGAGAAAGGAAGGACAACCTCACTCACCAGGCCCTGGGCACTCCTCACAACTGGAAGTTAGTTTGCTGAAAAGAAAAGAAAAGAAAAGAAAACCCTCTTAACAAAGCGCTGTGGTCTATCTCTGTCTTCCTTTGCATCCAGGTGTCGCTCTCAAGGAACTTGGCCTTTCTGGGGCAGAGCCTGCGGTCGGTGACTCCAACCCCAGCTGGAGGGGAGGATGGAAAGAGGGAAGGGAGGAGGATGGAGCCCTTGGCCAGGCCCGGACCTTGAACCTGATCGCCCCAGGTCGAAGCGCCCCTCCGCGGGCTGGGACTGGCAGTAGTCCCCCGGACCTCGGGGACCCTCTACAGCGCCCCGGCTCCGCTGCGTTCTAAGAGGACAAATTCCCCTGGATTGAGAGCGCGCGCCGTGGAGACCAATCGGATCCCGGCGTACGGCTGAGTTCAGGAGGGTTCAGCCAATGAGCATGCGCCTTGGGCGAGGTGAGGCCGCCCCCAACTTGGGCCTTATAAATTCTGCCCGCCGCGCCCGCAGAGCCGGGATGGGCCGGGCTCAGCAGAGGGCTCGGGGGTCCGCAGCGTGTCTGCCCGGGATGTCCCAGGCAGCTGAGGGCGAGCAGCCCCTGGAGACGACGGGCGCCGCTGAGAGCCGGCACGAGGCCGCCCCCGAAGGCGAGTCGCCGGCGGAGACCGCGGGGCCCTCGACTAGGAGCCAGACCGGCGACGAGGCTGACCTGGTGAACCGCAGTGGGAACGAGGAGGACGCGGGGTACGGGCTGGGCAGATGGTGGGAGTGGGTGGGTGGACTTTGGCGCCGTCCCGGAGCCGCCTGGAGAGAGAGCGGGTGGCCGAGGGCATCGTGGGCGCATGGTACCGGGGCCATCCGGTCGAGGTCTAGGCCCAGACAAGGCCTCCATCCTCCCCTCTTTCCTCCTTCCATCCTCCCCTCCAGCTGGGGATGGAGTTACTGTCTGACCTCAGGCTCTGCCCCAGGAAGATCAAGTTCCTTGAGAGCGACATTGGGGCAGAAGAAGACAGGGATAGACCATAGCGCTTTGATAAGAGGGTTTTTTAATTTTAATTTTTTAAGCAAACTAACTTCCCGTTGTGAGGAGTGTCCAGGGTCTGCTGGGTGAGGTTGCCCTTCCCTTCCCCCTCCAAGCCTGGGGTTCTGTGGTCTTAAGTTTTGTTAGGGTCAGCGTGGAGTTGAGGTCTCAGTAAGGAGGAGGTGTAGATCATTCATGGCTTTCAAAGGTAGAGTTTTACAGACTTGGGTGGGTGGGTGTAGACCTTTGCTGTGGATGGTGGCTTTGGCATCCTTTCAGTGAAAGCTTTGGGAGATCCAGCGCTTCCTTAACTCATGGCTTCCTTGTAAGACTTCTTGTTGCCACGTGTCTCACCCTACCATTTCAGAAAATGGTTCGTTGGTAGCCTGAGCTGGGATATCAGCAAAAAGGACCCCAAAGACTATTTTACCAAACTTAGAGAGGTCGTTGACCGTACCATAAAAATGGATCCCAACATTGGAAGATCAAGAGGTTTGGGGTTTATCCTCTTTAAAGATGTGGCCAGTGTGGAGAAGGTAAGCTGTGTACTTCCTCAAGGGCCCTTGTGTACAGGATGTGATTTCTGAGAGAACAGCATGATCTTGATCAGTTTGTGTGAGCTGCATGTGGCCAAGTGCACTGTGGGAAGCAGAGTTTAGGTACTTGTTACTCTACAGATTTCAGTGGGCAGTCGAAAGTATAGGGGTTGGAGTGGTCCAGGAAGATGAGAGTGGACATTTATTGCTTGTTTATGTGTCTATTTTGGGCACTGAGCTAAACATTTCACATGTGAGGATTAGAAAAGCATCCCAGGATGCCGTGAGGTAGGCGTTATTTGTGTCACTTTACAGAGGAGGAAACTAAGGCTCAGAGAAGACTGAGTAACTAGGAGAGGTCACACAGTGAGTAGAGGGTAGAAGAGTGGGGATTCCAACCCCTGCAGCCCAGCTTCAGCCTGTGCTGTTAGTCCCTGCTGCTTTATTCCTGGAGGAAGCAAGTCTCAGGTTGGGACTGCCAGGACAGGAAGAAGGGCACACAGCATGGACAGAGGCTCCAAGGGAGGGAGGACCGATTTACGTGTGTTTAGGTAAACCAGCCAGATTTCAAGTTTAGAGAAAGTCAGGAAGTCAGGCCTCGGTAGAGCGTGGTGTGTTTGGAGGGGATGAAATATTTTCTGTGCCTGTTGAGGGGGGTGGCGTGGGACGGGTCTTGTGGCTCAAAGAGAATGGACTAGCCCTGGGTAATGCTGCCAGGAAATGCCGGTGAGAATTAGAACCAGAGTCTGCCTGATTCCCTTCTCAGAAGGAATTGTCCCATTTCCCACATCCCGGGAAACCCCACAGGCCTAGTTTTAGTGCTATAAGTCCCTCAGCCTGGGAAATCCCTTCGTTCTGGTGTTAGCACTGAAAGTCCCCAGGCCCCATGGTCCTGAGCAAATGGATGGTTGGTCAACCTACTCTTCTGTTGGAACAGGTCCTAGACCAGAAGGAGCGCAAGGTAGGTGGCCATAGGATGAACCACAAAAAGGCCGTAACCATGAAGAAGGATCCTATGAAGAAAATCTTTGTGGGGGGTCTGAACCCTGAAGCCACTGAAGAGAAGATAAGGGAGTACTTTGGCAAGTTTGGGGAGGTGAGTGTCTCCCCAGGGTGTGGTTTATGCTCCCCAGCAGCAACCTGTGGCTGCTTTTTTCCTTCCTTCCTTGGCTGGCTGGAGCTCTCCTCAGCGGGGCTTCTTCCTCCTCGCCTCTGGCTTTCAGGTGCCTTCTCTTCTATGAGTTCCCTTTAGATCCTGAGTCAGAGGAGGCCCTAGCCCTGAGCTTTGCCTGGGTTTCCAGATTGAGGCCATCGAGTTTTCACTGGATCCAGAGTCTAACAAAAGACAAGGTTCTGTTTTCATCGCCTTTAAAGAAGAGGAACCTGTGAGAAGCATTCTGGAGAAGTTCCACACCATCAGTGGTAGCAAGGTAAGGGTCTCTGGCTCCACGGGCCTGCCTTCCCCTCTCTGGAGAGCTAGCCTTTGGGTTAGTGGGCACCTAGGAGGGTAACCCATTCTCCCAATTTTAGCCCTGAAAGCATCGTGTCCTGGCAAACCCTTTCCTGGAATGTGAAAGGTCCTGGTTCTTGGCGATGAGTGTGGAAGTTTGGAGGAAAAGTACAAAACCCATGCACTGGCCCAAACAGAGGGGCCGAAAGCAACACTGTCTTTAGTGTCAAATGGATATGGCAGAGATTATCCATCTTCTGTAGCTGCTGTCACCCACTTTCCCCTGACCACTGATGTTGGCAACCACAGTTTGTGGTTCACAGTACCGGTTTCTCTGCCCATGGTTGCGTCACCCAGAGACATGTGACTTAGACTGTTGTAATTATGAATATCAACAGTCTGTCTTTGACTTTGCCTGTGGGTTAACTGTTGCACTTTGTATTATATTGAGCTAGTGCTAGTTTTATTTTTTTATTTATTTTTTTTAATTTTTTTTTTTTAAAGATTTTATTTTTTTCCTTTTTCTCCCCAAAGCCCCCCTGGTACATAGTTGTATATTCTTCGTTGTGGGTCCTTCTAGTTGTGGCATGTGGGATGCTGCCTCAGCGTGGTTTGACGAGCAGTGCCATGTCCGCGCCCAGGATTCGATCCAATGAAACACTGGGCCGCCTGCAGCGGAGTGCGCGAACCTAACCACTTGGCCACGGGGCCAGCCCCGCTAGTTTAATTTTTTAACATTGTGAATATTGTGACCATGTTTTCGAAGAGGTCAGATAATGAAAATGAGAATGATTATAATACCAACGCAAGCAAGATCCCGTCACCGAAAAAGAAGGCTAAACGACTGTGTTATTTTAATGACAGATGGAAGGACACATACAACTGGATTAGGGAGGTAAATAACCCAAACCCAGCCCTCTGCACGATATGCAGAAAAGAATTTGGGATTGGGCACGGCGGAGAAGGGGATGTGAAAGCACATATGGAGACTGAATCTCACAAGTCCAGGATGAGACAGTCAGGGGCCTCTAAACCGATCAAAAGCGGTTTCATTTCCCGAAAATACACCAATGTCCAGGCAAAAGTAGCAGCCACTGAATTAACGTGGGCATACCACACGAACAGACACGCGCTATCTTACCGCTCCCTTGACTGCTCTATGAAACTGAGCAAGGTGACATTTTCTGATTCAGAGGTCGCAACTAAAATCTCCTGTGGGCGAACGAAAGGAGAAATTTTGATAACCGACGTGCTGGCCCCTTACAGTGTCGAGCTGGTTTTGTCATTTCTCACCAACGGTCATGTTTTCTACAGTCTGTCGACCACAGGCGATGCGCCGAATCACGGCCACAAAAAAATTTTCCCTCTAGCTCTCAGGTACTTTGACTTGAAAAATGGAGTTTCAGATCGTCTCCTTGATTTCTATGAAGATTGTAATGAAACTCCTGAAATACTAAAACAAAAGATTGTTGATATTTTGTCCAAATACAAACTAGATTTAGCTCACCTCTCTGCATATTCTTCAGACTGTGCCAATGTAAATTTCAGCAAATTCCATTCCGTCTATAAACTTCTTAACGAAGAAAATGGAAAGATCGTACCTCTTCCGTGTCCTGCACGTCTTGTGTACAACACTGCCAAAAAGGGCTGTGATTTGCTTAAATGTGACATTGAGACTTTCATAATGAAAGTTTTGGGTCACTTTTCAGTTTCCTCAAAATGTGCAGAACCACTCAATGAGATTTTTGACTTTATAGAAGTGGGAGGAGATGACGTCTTTAGACATGTGCCTACAAGATGGACGTCCTTGCTGCCAGCCATAGAAAAGATGCTAAAATGTTGGCCGGCCATAAAATCGTATTTTCAAAGCGTGGGACCAGAAGAATGTCCTTTGATTTGGAAATATATTGAGGATGAGAGTGGAGAGAAGGATTGCAGTGAAACAGAAATTTATATGCTGTTTCTCTGAAACTGTCTGATGATCTTTGAAGAGGCCGCCAAGAGCCTAGAAAAGGATGAACTCACTGCGCCTGAGCTGTTTGATATTATGTATAGGTTGAGACAAAAACTCATACAGCGGAAAAATGATTCATTTTTTGGGAATAAGACTGCTTCAGAACTAAAAAAAATGTCACTGGAAAAGGGCGGCCAAGTGAAAGAGGACTTCCGTAATTTCTTTTCTAAAACTGTAACTTATTTGGAAGCCAACTTCAATTTCACCAGTGCCAATTACCTCTGGGCTTTAAAACCATTTTCCCTGCGAAGGAGATGTTTAATTTATGATGACATCCGGTGTGCTTCAGAGTGTTTAAAAATGACGGATATTTTAGACATGGATAGCCTCTATGATGAATTTATAGATGCAAAAGACCTGATTGACAAACAGCTGGTCTATCCCAACAAGCCCGTGGATTCAAAGTGGGTGGACATTTTTGCAGAAATGGAAACTAATTCCTACAAATTTAAAAACTTGCTGTTACTAGTCAGTAAAATCCTAAGTATTCCATGCTCCAACGCCTTTGTCGAGAGGATAGTGAGCTTCACGTCATCACACTGGACTGACACTAGGAATCAGTGTAACGTAGGCTTGAGGAGAGCAGAACTACAAGTCAGAGTGAATTTCCCGTTCGACTGTGTTCAGTTTTACCATTACATAAAGGAAAAGAAGGAGGTCCTAAAAGCTGCAAGCAGCTCAGAAAAGTACTATTGGAAAAGGACGCAGAAAGAATAAAAATATTCTACCGTATCACGGGACAGAAAGAAATGTGTCATTTTTTATTAAATATAGGAAATATCTGTTAGTCCTATTATATTCGTATTCCCCTTTAGAGTCTTACATTATGTATCTTATTTTGATTGCTATATTTGTATTCAAAATATCCAAGCATGTTAGCACAGCAGTATGTGTCTAATTTAGAAATAAACTATACATATATGGGGATGCTTGTTCAAAATTTTTTTCACTGATGAGCAGAGGCCTCCATGATAAGTAGCCTTGTGGGATCTGAAAGAAGAGAAGAATCAAGGACCTGAAGCAGGCTTTTTTTGTTTGTTTAAAAATCAGTAAGACTCAGGGGCCAGACTGGTGGCCTAGTGGTTGAGTTCACATGCTCTGCTTCAGTGGCCCAGGCTTTGTGTGTTCAGATCCCAGGTACAGACCTACACACTGCTCATCAAGCCATGCTGTGGTGGCATCCCACATGCAAAATAGAGGCAGATTGGCACAGATGTTAGCTCAGCGACCATCCTCCTCAAGCAAAAGGAGGAAGGTTGGTAACAGATGTCAGCTCAGGGCCAATCTTCCTCACCAAAAAAAAAAAAAAAAAAATTCATTAAGTCTCCTGTGACTTTGGTTTTTTAATGAATCAATCTCCCAAAGCCAGGGTGCCCCTGGAGGAACTGATACAAACCAAGTGTCTGAACATCTGAAAATGAGGCCCAGGCCCAGCATCACAGATCACTCACTGAGGTGTGAACATCCCAAGAGGTCCTGCCCGAGCAGGCGTCTGTCAGTCATCCGGCTCTCAGCCTTTCTCTCCCTTTCTCCAGTTCCACCTGTACACAATACATGGAAACTTACATCACTACAGATTGGGAGCTCTACAAATCCAGAAGGGCCTGAGAATGGAAATCAGGAGGTTGGAGAATTTGGATGGGAAAAAGAAATTGTCACTAGCCTCTAACTAAACTTTAGCATTTCCTTCCATTAGGAAAATAGGAAAGAAACCACAGCAGTGTTAGTACCCAGGACTCTGTCCTCACTAGGAATCACAGATGCTCGCGGGTTATAGACACCTCAAACTATTGTTCATGCACACCACAACTTGGGAATTATGGTAATTACTGAACCCACTCCTAGATCTTGTAATTTAATAAAGAAGCACATCTATTATATCACAGATTTAAATGTGTAATAATTTGATAACTGTATTTCAATAAAATTGGCTTTCTTGGCAATCCTGTGTATTTTATCTTGTACATTTCTCCAGACTGCCAATGGGGTTGATAGCACATTGGCAGTTAAGAGTCTCTGCTGTGGATCATGAGTAGAAAGCTTTACAAATAGATGGATGAATAGGTGGAATTCAGGTGACTAGACTTTGCTGCACCCTTGCCTCCTGCTCTAACCTTACCATTAGCTGGAGTAGGTGGCAGCTGGTAGCATATGAGTTGAGAGGACAGTGGCCCCTTTGCCTCAGAACCTTCCTGTGCCCACATGTCCAAGAGTATGCAATTCCCATAATACACAAAGAGTCATTCTTTTAGGTTTAGGTGAAAATGTAGTAGGGATATCATGAGCCTGTTTCCAGCTTCTTAGACCTCAGGCGTGGAAGGGATGTCAGAGAGCATCTATTTTGAGCATCATCCTATTAATCCAGGCATTGAGGTCCAGGGGAGGTTATTCACTGGGGTCACATGGGTTAAAGAGACTGTGGCATTCCCAGAGGGTTTTTAGCTTTATTTTGAATAAGGAAGTTGTTCTGGGAATCTGGAGACAGAGAGAGAGAGAGAGTGAGAGAAGTCTGGGGTAAGGATGGGCATGAAGGGGATGGAAAGGAGAGCTGGGGGAAGTCGGAGCCAGACTTGATACCACTTCCTCCACTCCACATTCCAGTGCCTGCCATCAACTCCCTGTGAATCTTCAGGAATCTTATTAATTCCCCAGGACCAACATAGACTTCTCACAAGTTAGTTACCCCACTTCTCAGAAGCACTTTTAAGCACAAGGAATAGGTTCAGGAAAGAAATGTCACAAGATGTAATGTATATTCTTCAGGTTTATTTTCGGAAATTCTGCTCCTTTCCCCAGGCCCACAGCACACCTAGAGCTGCGTCATGACTCCTAGATGACAGCCTTCTTCATTTCTCCGAAGGGCTATTACAGAGGGAAGTGGCTTAGAAGGCAAAACTGGAGTGAGATGAGTTGCTGCCGGGAGGCATAATTCCAAGTCACTTTCAGGTTCATTCCTGGGAACGGATTATGCCGGGACTAGACGGATTGAAAGTGCCCTCCCATTCCGGCATTCTGTACCTTTCCCTACAGATTCTGAAGCCCTGCAAATCGTGGCTTTGGAGTCTAACACCAGGATCCCGGTCTCCCCCGACATCTAGATGAGCCCGCAGATCGTGCGCTATATCGCGGTGGCTCGGGCTTTGAAAGCAGACAAACGGGCTCTACCCTTTGCAGCCCACGTAAGACCTGAGACTTTGAACAAGGAAATCACTTCGCCTCTCTGAACCTTAGCTCCCTCCGCTGAAAATGCGGAGTTTCCTGGGGAGTTTGTAAAAGGCCTGCGTTGGCTGTAGACACAAATGTCCCTGGAATGATTACTGAACGTCTTCACGGTTAAAACTCTTTCGTCTTCTGGGATCCCCGCTACGCCGAGATCCCCTTCCTGCGAAGACGTGTCAGTCCCGTTCCCTCCGGCAGGAGGCAGCGGACCTCAACCCCAGCTCAGGGCCAGGGCCGAAAGGGGGCAGGCACAGCCCGTTGGCAGCGGCCGGGCGCTCCAGGCGGTGTAGCCGACCGGCCGCCTCTGCTCTGCCGGGCGGGCGGGGCCGAGCGCGGGAGGGAGGGAGGTGGCGCATGCGCGCAGCGGGAAAGGCACCGCCCCGAGCCCCGGGCCCCGCCAAGCGCTGGAAGGGAGCGCGCAGGGTCCGAAGGCTCCGGCGGCGAGCACCGGCTTCCGGACTCCAGGTACGAAGTTTGCCCGCAGCTGGCTGCCGACTGTTCTCTTTTCAGTCTCACGGAGGGCTCGGGGCTGCAGGTGAGCTGTACGCTTCGCAGTCGAGACCTTCCTGTCCTGAATTTTCTTGCAAAAGCGCAGAAATAAACAGACACCGATGCAGAGGACCTTGGGAGGAATTTGCAGGAGATGGGGTCTGCTCTCCCAGGCATCGCTTCTCGCCTCCTCCTGGGAGTGCCCCGAATTTCTTCCTTCTCGCGGTCCTGACTCTCCCACCTTCCCGGAGCTAGGGAGAGGCGGAGGAACGGGTGGGGCTCTGGGACCATTGCAGACATGCTTGGCAGGGTTTTAACCTTCCCAGCACCACCCACACTTCGCTCGAAAGTGTGTCTGTCCAGCCCCAAGGAGTTCAAAGGTGGGTAATTGTTGATACTCAACATGTGAAAACACGTTTTATATCGTAGCTTACGGTAAGTCTCTTCGTGGATTCCCCAAATTTAGAGGCAAGGCGGCGCCCTGTCACCTGGGTTTGTACGCGGTGCAGTAAATCATCTTGCCGCGTTGCACCCAAGACGCTTTCTGGCTTTTCTAAGGGCGGAGCATCTCGTTTGCGATGGGAGCATGTGATGCGTCCCACATCGCACCCACCCCCGTCCCTTTCATGTTAAGGCAGCCTCTGGCTTTCGTGTGTCCTTTTGGACAGGTCAAATGGTCCTGCCATGGCAAAGGAGCAAGAGGAGTGGGTGCATTTTGTCTGAATTTTCTCTGTGAGTACAGACGCTTCTTGCAAGGTTGCGAATAGATTTATTCTGCCTCTTTAGAACAACACTCAGTTCACTAAACAGATTAACGACCGTCTGTTTCCTGGCATTAGAGCTAAACCCGGGGTAGGTGAGTTAAAGAATGTCTTCCGGGGCCGGTCTGGTGGCCCAGGGGTTAAGTTCGCACGTTCTGCTTCTTGGCGGCCAGGGTTCGGCAGTTCGGATCCCGGGTGTGGCCATGCCACTGCTTGGCACGCCATGCTGTGGTAGGTGTCCCATGTATAAAATAGAGAAAGATGGTCACGGATGTTAGCTCAGGGCCAGTCTTCCTCAGCAAAAAGAGGAGGACTGGCAGTAGTTAGCTCAGGGCCAGTCTTCCTCAGCAAAAAGAGGAGGACTGGCAGTAGTTAACTCAGGGCCAGTCTTCCTCCAAAAAAAAAGAATGTGTTCAGGGGGCTGGCCCTGTGGCCAAGCGGTTCAGTTCGGGAGCTGAGCTTCAGCAGCCCAGGGTTTCACCGGGTCGTACGCTGGGCGCCGACCTAGCACAGCTCATCAAGCCATGCCGAGGCGTCCCGCATACCACAACTAGAAGGACCCACAACTAAAAATATGCAGCTATGTACCAGGGGCTTTGGGGAGAAGAAGGAAAAATAGAATCTTAAGAAAAACCCGAAAGAATGTCTTCAGGCAGAAGTTGTTCCGCAGGTTCCCTCACTCATTCACTCATTGAGCAAGTATTTACTAAGCACCTGCCATGTGTGTGACTGTGAGCTTGGTGCTGTGAGGAGGACAAAGAGGAATTGATCCTGAGCTTTGCCCTCAAGGAGCTTGACTGGCTGAGAGGAGAGATAAGCCCAACATACACAACTCTATACCAGGGAGAAGGGGATGGGGCTGCAAGAGAGGGCCAGAGGAAGCGCTGGGGGGCCCAGAGGAGGGGGAAGAACCAGCTTTCGCACCAGGTGGTTGGCTTAGGAGAAAACTAGGTCCCCAAATTACTACCTGATGTTGAGTGATATCTATATTAAGCTTCAGATCTGTATACGAGGGTGTTTTCCTGACTGCCTGCCGGGCATCTCAGACTGAATATATTTCAAACAGGTCTCATCATTCCTGGTGACCTTCCTCCTGCCCTCACTACACGCCTACTGCTATTTCAGGGAACAGTGTCACGGCTCCCCTGCCCTCCCCCTCTTAGTGGTCCAAGCCAGAGACCTAGGCGTGAGCTGTCTCTGACTCTCCTCCCCCTCACTGCCCTCATCCAGGCGTGTTGATCCCCCCTCCTGAAGCTCTCAGTGCCGTTTCTACAGGCCAGGCTGCCGTCATCTCTCCCTTGGTTTACAGCTGCAGCCTCCCAGCTTATCTCCCTGACTGGCTTCACCGCAGCCAGGAAGCTCTTGCTGGAATTTACATCTGCCAGTGCCGTCCCCTTCATTCACCGCTCACTGCCCTTGGGACAGAAGAGTCTCCCTTTACAGGGCTGACGTGGGTGGGCCGGCCCTGTCTTTCTCACCAGCCCCGTATCTTTTCACAACCCTCTTGTACTTCTTTCCATTTTGACAACATGCCTTGCTTCCTCATGGCCCTAGGCCTTTGCACATGTTCTCCCTTCTGCCTAGAACACACGCTGCCTTGCTACATGCTTCACTGGGGTTACTCCTCCTCTCCCTAAGGTCCCAGCTGCAACCCTGCTTCCTCCGGGAGGCATTCCGTAGACTCCCAAGCCTCATTAGGTGCTCCTTATTATTATGGCACCCATGCCTCTCCTGTTAGGATGCACTCACATGCCTGCCTCCTCCGCTGTGCTGTACTGTAAGTCCTGGAAGATGAGGCCCATGTAGGAGGGCTTTTCATTGTTTCCTACTGCCTTGCACAAAGAACATGGTCAGTAAATGTGGGCACGCCTCAGAGATTGTGGGTTGGGTTCCAGACCACCATAATAAAGCGAATATGGCAATAAAGTGAGGCACATGAATTTTTTGGTTTCTCAGTGCATACAGAAGTTATGTTTACACTGTACTATAGTCTGTTTCGTGTGCAATGGCATTATGTCTAAAAATACAGTGTGCATACCTTAATTAAAAAATATTTTATTGCTAAAAAATGCTAACCATCATCTGAGCCTTCAGTGAGTTGTGGTCTTTTTGCTGGTGGAGGGTTTGTGAAAAACACAGTGTCTGTGAAGCAGTAAAGCGAAGCGCAATAAAACGAGGTGTGCCTGTGGTTGTTAATGGACCTGAGTGTCAATATACGTTGCAATATCATGGTTTGATTCGTTGCATGCCTGAATTGTAAATTCTCCCTACCTCAGTGGTTTCCTCAGTTTGCTGGTGTAGTAATGGCCTTACCCACATTAAGCTTAAAAATGGGGGTAAGTGTGAAAGAGAAGAATAACTGTTGTTAGAGTAGCTAATTGTTGAGTATTCCGTATGTTCCAGGCGCTGTTCTCAGTGCTTTACGGGATTAACTCGTTTAATTATCACAACAACTCTGTGAGGTAGGTATTTCAATGGTCCTACTTTACAGGTGGAGAGCTTGAGTTAGAGATAATCAGGAGTGCCTCCTGCTACACAGCTAGTAGTTTGTGGCGTCAGGTTTGGAGCCAAGCATCCCTTGTGGAACATGTTTAACTCTTTGAGAAAGACAGTAAGTAGGGCTGAGCATGAGATGCTCATAGGGCTAAAGGTGGTCAGTCACCAGATGGAAGACAGTGCAGTGTGGTCACGACTTTAACCCAAGAAGCCAAGCAGATGTGATTAATCCAGAATTTAAAACTCTGAAGAACATAAGTTTCACCTGCATATTCACTTTTTCCAGCCAGCCAACTCAGTTATCAGAGGTATTACTGTTAGTGGTTAGGAATGAGACTTCTCTGAGGCTGAAATCTTGGTTCTGCTGTGTAACCTCGGAGATGTTGCTTGCCTTCTCTGTGCCTCAGTCTCCTCATCTGGAAAATGGGGATAAGAATGATAGTACTTACCTTGTAGGGTTGTGGTCACGATTAAAGAAGTTGGTACATGTACGGCCTCAGAATGGTGCCTAGCACGTGGTAATTACTCTGAAACATCCTTGCTGTTAGTATTTGTTTATCCATCACTCAGTCAACAGCGGTTTTTGAACACAGGTCCTCCCTCCGTGTTCGGTCCCACTGTACCGCTGCTTGGGGACAGGTGAGCTCTCTTGTTCTAATTCTCCTTCCCGCAGATGCTGAGGGTTTTTCGGTGTGGCCTTGTTTTCACTGTCATCGTCTCCTCCTGTGCCTCAGGTTCTCTCCCCTCAGACCCTTCCTCACAGTATGTTCTCACTTCCTCTCCGAGATAAGCTCAGAACCCTTTTCCGTTGTTCTGGAAAGCACCACCAGGAGTCTTGGAATTTAAAGAGCTGCAGGGAACTTTCGAGTTCATCTCCTGTTTCCCTCACTTTGGGGGGATGCTGGCATAGGGATGGGGTGTGACCAAGGACCAAGAGCCGGCCAGTGACCAGTAGCCCCATCTCCAGTCTCCAGCCTGTCGCTGGTACACTTTCTCCTACATCTTAGAGAATGGTGGGCAGGGTTTCAGCAGAACTTCTCACCACTGGATGTGTGTCATCTGCTGCTCTGATGCCCCATAGGATGTCATTGTCCTTCAGTTCACCTCATGCCAGGACTTTGTTATATCCCTTAGTGATTTGCTGTCGATTAAGCGTTGGTGTCTCTGCCACCACAGAAGAGCCTCTCATAACAAAGCTGGTGACAAAGCAAATGTTTAAAGTGAAACTTTGGTTCGATCAGCAAACAAACGTCCGTGTCACCCCTTTTCTGGTCTTCACTGTGAGGAGGATAGGGCGAGGCATATCTGTCCAAATACCAAGGATTCGAGAATGGTTTCTGAAGTCAAGGGATTTAGAGGAGGAAGAGCAGTTTGCTCCAGACCAGTTGGGTGGTGCAGGCTGGAGTGGTTCAGGAGGCTGGGGGGTTGTTAAGAAGGGCTGAAGTCGGGGAGAAGCGTCAGAGGGAGGGTTGGGGTTTGTTGTGGAGAGGGAGGGCGTTCCAGGAACGGAAGTGAAAAGTGAAGATTGTGGTGTTACAGAGAGCAGGAGACTGCCTTGGGGAAGTGGAAGGAAATAGACAGCTGAGGGCACAGCGGGGCTTGACGGCCAGGAGAGGAGGATCAACCCGAGGTGCCCCTGGCTGTGCTTGAGGGAGGATGATGTGGAGCGTAGGTGAGTGCCGGAACAGATGAAGATCTGGCTTCCCTTTTTTGGTAGACTAGAGAAACTAATTTCTGTAATTCTGTGGAATGCATATCATTTTTATATACATTTGCTCCCTCAAACTCTTTTTATTTTCTAACATTTGTCCCTTCCCCCTGGTTTTAGCGTTGCAGTCTTGCCAATGGACCTTGTGGGTTTTGGTTATGCAGCCCTTGTGACATTTGGAAGCATTTTGGGATATAAGCGGAGAGGTAAGCCTGAATCAGGTTTTTCATCAAAGGGACTAGGTGGGGGTTGGTGGTGGTGCTGGGATCAGCTGAGGGTCTGTAGGTAGGACACAAAGCTAAAGATGTCCTGGAGAGGTGGCTGAGGACCAGCATGTCGTAGAGGGGATTTGGGGAAGGGAGGGGGTGGTGTGGGGCTGGGCATGACAGAGCATTCCAACCTGGGGTTCTGGGCCTCTCTCCTCTACACAATTCTAGTTTGACCTGTCATTGTCGATTGCATCATTAATTGATTTAACCTCCCTAGGGCTACTCGCTTATTATCAAATGAGGATTTTTTTTGTTTATGTACTCATAGTGTCAAAAAGCTGAATTATGTTGATGTTGTTTGTTGCAAAGGAAAATTCATTAAAATCTTAGATATTATATCTCAAGTTGTTTCTTCATCACTGTCAAAAAGAGGAAAAAAAAAACCCAGTTGATAAATAAAGGGTTTTCATGGGGAAAAATGAAAGGTCAGGTTTTATATTTTACTTTGTTTGAAGGTAGAAGATTTATAGTCCTGCTGTCTCATATTTCCGTTTCTTATATTTTTATGAAATTTTAAAAATGAATATTTTTTGAAATGTATATTTCAAGGAGTGTTATATTTTGTGACATTGGTGGACTTGAGTTTGAGTGAAGAAGCCAGGTCTACAGTTTTCAGAGTTACTCCCTTCTTTAGAGATTGCTAAGAAATCCACGGCCAGAAGCTCAGTTCTCTCCCGGGGCTGCGGGGCTGGCAGGTGAGACTAGGTTATCTTCTAAGATTCCTGTGAGCCTGTCATTCACCCTGGATTTTGGTTGGTGGTTCTTATTTTCTTTCTCAGTATGTGTAGCATCACGGATATGTATTTGATGGGGAAAAAACGATGGCACCAAAGTAAGACCTGTAAACAACTACTCAAAAGTTGATGGTTCATAATCTACTTTAAAGGGAACTCAGTTTAAAGTCCTGTTAGGATTGTTGTTCACAAACCTTTTCATTGTCAAAGACATGTCTGAATAACCTCTGTCATAGAACAGAAAAGAGCCTCTGGACATTTTTGCTTGCCTCTTAGAGGGGTGGGAAGAAGGAAGAGTGTGTGCACATGTATGCGTGCGTCTGTGTGTGCGTGTTGGAGTGGCTGGGATGGGCCGGGATGGGGAGAGGAGAGGGTTGCTTTGCTATTCCAAGCCACGTCTCTTCAGGAACAAATGAAATCACGGGAACTGTAAGGTGTCCGATATCAGGGCCCTGATGCCCAGCTGCACAATATGGTTCCTTGGCCTCCTGCAAGAGCCCCCCACTAAGGGATCCTGGGAGCCCCTGGGGGCCCACATGTGTTCACAGAGGAGCCCACTCTTGTCGTGTAGTGTGGGTTAAGAGCACAGGCCACAGAATCAAGCATTCTTACATTCTGCTCTTGACACTACCACTTACCAGCTCAGATACTCACGTGAGTTGTTTTAACTTCTAGGCTTCAGGTCCTCAATGTAAATTAATCTGTTAGGATTAAATAAGATATTGTGTGTAACACATTTCACATAGTGCCTGGCGCAGAGTAAAGGTTTAATATGCTTGTTGTTTCTGCTGCTACTGCGCTGCCAGTGGGAGGTTGGGGGTGGGGGTGGGGCCGCTGCTGGGCAGCTTCCTGCTCTGCGGGGCCCCCGCGTGCACCTTTCAGCTCCTTTGAGAACTCCGATTCCAAGACCTCCCCACCCAGAGCCGCATCCGAGGAGATGGGTTGGGGAGAGCTTGGGGCTCCTTTTTGGTGGCCCCACGGTGGGCCATGGACTTCTTCCACAGAACCTTTGCCCCCTTCCCCAGCAGTGGCTTCCTTGTCGGGTGGAGCCCACAGCCCCTGCTCCTTCCTCACGCAGGATGAGTTCTCCCCAGCACCTTCCCAGTTCTCATCCGCGTGGCCGCTGGGAGCCTGCCCTGTCCCTGCTGTTGGCTGTCTGGTCTCACCAAGACTCAAGTGCAGATGCTGCCACGCCCCCCGCCCCCCCCAGACTTAAGGCAGGAGGACAGCAGTGCAGAAATCCTGAGGGTGTCCAGAAAAGAGGCAGAGAGTCTCTAGGTGAGAAAGCACCTTGACGGCGACCTAGTCATGCTTTCCAGAAAACGCTTAATCTCCTCAACTGTGACCTTCTCTGACTTCTGCTTGAACAGGATCCCTGACGGGGCGCCCAGGCGTGCATCTCCTCAGGGTTTATCTAGTGCTGCCCACAGACCCGGCACTGTTTCAGGCCCTGGGAAAACAGCAGTGAGCAAAAAGACATGGCGCTCACAAGCAAGTGGGGGAGACTGACATTAAATACATGAACAGGCTTATAAACATATGATGAGTAATGGTGGCCTCGCTCAGCCCGGGCGGGTCAGAGAAGGCATCTCTAAGGAACTTACCCTTAGAGAGGTGCCCGAAGGGGAGCTGCAGTTGACCAGGTGAACAGTGAGGGGAAGAGCAGTCTAGGCAAGGAACAGCATGTCTGGAAGCCAGGAGGAATAAAGAGTCTGGCGTGTTCAGGGAACTGAAAGAAGGCCAGGGCTCCAACAACGGAGCAAACCTGAGTTCTTTCCTGTGTGCAGTGGGAAGCACTGAGGGTCTTTAATGAGAGGAGCGCCCTGTCTAGGTGTATGTTTTTAAAAGATCATATTGTGGTTTGGAGAATAGATTTGAGGGGGGTGGGAGGGAACAATGGCGACTCAGTACTTGTTGCTGTTCATCCCTGAGTCGTAACATCTTGAGGCTGGAAGGTTTGTGAATTATTCAGGACAGAACCATCGCTTGGTTTGCACAAGATTTCTCCCTCTACCTCTATGAGCTAAAGATCCGTTTGCATATTAATTTCATCATCACAACCTCAGAGTAAAAAGATGGAGGCAAGGAGACTAGAGAAAAAAAAATGAAGGGCGTAAAGAAGTCAACCAATCACCCAAGATGATGCAATCAATGTGAAAACCCCTCCTACAAGGCAGGCTTTCTTATTCCCTCTATCATATCTAACAGCACTGCTGTGCGCTTCGGGTTCCTCTGCCCTGCATTTCAGGTTCAGCATGAGATGGGCATTTCTTAGAAATTATCCGTGAATAGGCCAACTTAATTTGGCTTTGTGCAGTTACAATGCCCAAGCAGAAATGCATTTGGAGGTGTGTGTATCATACTGGAAGCCAATTCCTTTCATTTGAGGATTCCCTTTCTGAACCCCCCTTTTTTTTTCCAGGTGGCATTCCATCTTTGATTGCTGGTCTTTTTGTTGGATTTTTGGCTGCCTATGGTGCTTACCGTGTCTCCAATGACAAACGAGATGTAAAACTGTCACTGTGTAAGTGAGGCGTTTTTCCCAGTTATGGAGAATCGACCCTTGGGGGTGGCTTTTTTGATCCCCTCTGCTAGGTGTGGTAGAAGCTACGTAGTGAGACACAGGCACGTGGCCCTACGCGTGTGTCAAGACTGATCACAATTCTTGTTCCTTTCTAGACAGACCTGATCAAAAAAATGGTATTGCTGGTTAGGGAGCTATGGGCTCACTCTGCTCGCTGCCATCTGAGCCAATTAGTCACAACGAGTTCAGAGATTGAGAAAGGAAGTTTTTACTCCATTAGCCGGTGTGATCGGAAGATGGGAGACTAATGTCTCAAAAAACCCATCTTAAAGAATTACAGAGCCTTGAGGCAGTTATATCGGGAAAATGGGCAGTATGGAGGGGGTTAGAGGTGTCGGCCTTCATGTGTGGCGGACTCCAGGGTCCCTTGTCGTTCCGCTGTCGGTGATGATGAACATCCTACAGGTGTTCCTGCTTCCTGGAGGCCTTCTTATTCATTGGGAAAATTTAAGATTGTTAAGGACAAAGCTATCAGAGTACCTCAGCAGGGGGATGTGCACAGGATCAGGGCCAGAAAGTCATGAAAGCGTGTAGTAATTTATGATGATTACATGCTAGAAGGATTTTAACTAGGAAAGGGTCATTTAGTGTAACACATTGGCCTCACTTATGCTCACATACGCTACCAGACCTTCCAACTTAGAAGAATATTTCTATAAGACTTGATTATTAGAAAAATAGGGGGCTGGCCCAGTGGTGCAGTGGTTAAGTGCACATGTTCTGCTTTGGTGGCCCGGGTTCGCCAGTTTGGATCCTAGGTGCGGACCTACGTACCACTTGGCACGCCATGCTGTGGTAGGCGTCCCACATATAATGTAGAGGAAGATGGGCACGGATGTTAGCTCAGGGCCAGTCTTCTCAGCAAAAAGAGGAGGATTGGCAGCAGATGTTAGCTCAGGGCTAATCTTCCTCAAAACAAAAAATAAATAAGTAAAACAAAATTAGAACAAGCAAGGAATTATGCCCAGATTCTTGGCTAACTCTCTTAAGTGTGTATTAGTGTCATTTTTTGTGTTGCTATGGAAGTACCTGAAGAGAGACAGCTTTGCATTGTTTTACTAATTCACACACAGCTTTTAGACCTTGCTTTGCTTTAAGACTTAATCCGGAAAAGCAAGGTTGACCCTTTTTTTAGCTTCTTCCTTTGTTCAGCTTAGTAGGGGAATCTCCACAGAGAAAATGGAACCCTGTGTGTGTTTAAAGCCCCCAAGACACTTGGCTTTCTTTTGTGTAGTTTGAAAGAGAAATACAGTGAAGATCTGGAAAACTACACCAAGGAATTCTCTCTGTTTAAATTGATTAATTTTTCCAGGTGCCCTGGTGGGGTATGGAAGAAAATACCAATGAAGACAAGTTGTATCAGTTCTGTATTTGGGGGAGAGAGAAATTTAGTGGCCTTTCTTCTTTCCTGATTTTAAATAGGAGCGAGGGATGGTTTTAATAATAAAATTGTGTCAGAAGACAAAAATCTATCAGCAAGATATAAATATGTTGGGCTTTTTATTCATATGCACGTAAATAGTTCACATATGTTCATTCAGTCATTTTGCTTTTGTATTAGCAAAGTATTTTTCCTTGAAAGCTGTTCTTCTTTTTTAAAGATTTTATTTTTTCCTTTTTCTCCCCAAAGCCTCCCAGTACATAGTTGTATATTCTTCGTTGTGGGTCCTTCTAGTTGTGGCATGTGGGATGCTGCCTCAGCGTGGTTTGATGAGCAGTGCCATGTCCGCGCCCAGGATTCGAACCAATGAAACACTGGGCCGCCTGCAGCGGAGCGCGCGAACTTAACCACTCGGCCATGGGGCCAGCCCCGAAAGCTGTTCTTAAATTGTGACTTCAATGCCCTGATCTGTTACATAAAACTACCTCTCTCTTCATATTGGTTCAGCTCCTAAAAAGCTGGTATGATGCTTCTGATTATAATATTATTAGTTAGACTATTGTTATTTAGTCTCCAGGCATTGAATTTTCCAAAATGGAATGCTACAAAATAAATAACGTTCTTCCTAGTATGATTTTATTAAACAGGTCTTACTTTAAAAAAAGATAGCAGGTCTGGCCCTGGTGGCCCAGTGGTTAAGTTCAGTGCACTCTGCTTCGGTGGCCTGGGTTCAGTTCCTGGGTGCGGATCTACACTGCTCACTGGCAGCAATGCCGTGGTGGCGACCTGCTTACTAAAACATAGAGGAAGATTGACACAGATGTTAGCTCAGGGCAGATCTTCCTCAGCACACAAAAAAACCAAAAGATGCTGATGATTTCCTCACATTCAGTTAACTAAACCCTAATTGAGTATCTCCTGTGGGCCCTGGTACACTGCCTGACGTTCCTGAGGAAAGCTGAATAAGACACAGTCCTAGTCTTCAAGGAGTATGCTATAAATAGAAATTTGAGTTAGAAAAAGACTTTTTCTCTTGACGGCATTTCAGGAATGGATTTTAACATGCTTGTTTACTCAGGAATCTTTTGATGAGTTAGTTTATAAAGTGTCTTGATAGAGCACTTTTTCTTTTCAAGAAAATAGCAACTCACTGCTTCCACACAGTCGTAGTTACATTAGAAAGTGCACGCTGAGGGCAGGTGTGAAACTCTGGCTCACGCGTTGGCTTGGTGTCCAGTTACAGCTTTCTTCCTGGCCACCATCATGGGTGTGAGGTTTAAAAGATCCAAGAAAATAATGCCGGCTGGGCTGGTTGCAGGTTTAAGGTAAGAAAAACTATTTTGATCTATATTTTCCTCTGTCTGAAGTGCTGAATTTTTGGCAAAAGTCAGCTTTAGTTTGAAAGGTCGAAGTAGTTTTTACTACAATAAGCATGAGTGGAAACACCCTGAGATATCGTGCGTTTGTTCAGTCTGCGGTGTTGACGTGCCCGTGCGCATGCTGGCACATACCCTTAGGGTGGCCGTAGCATCTGATCAGGTGTCCACACGTGCCTTCTTCAGGGTAAAGAGCTAAATTCGGCCTCATTGTCCTCAAGACTCACCCATCTGAGACAGTCAGGTATTTGCTTAAATCTGATGCTCAGTCTCTCGCAGAGAGACTAGGCCAGAGGGACAGACTGCTGTAGTTATCTTGAGTTTTTAAGGGAGAAAAACTTAATATTTTTTTGAAAGGTAAATGAGGAGCCTCAAGTTTCCGTTAATTTAATCACAGTATTTCTATCCATGAGATTAAGCATGTTACCAGGTAAAAATGCCTAGGTAGCATGTTTAATTCCTCCTGGAAGCTGTGTTTATACATTGAAAGCCATAAGCATGTTTGTTTCCTTTGATAGACATTTCTACTTTTTGGAAATTGTTCCAAGGAAATAATGAGGTATATACAAAGGCTGGTGTTTATTGCAGCTTATTTCTAATGGAAGAGACATGATAAAGTGAACAATTAGAAACAACCTGAAAGTTCATCAGTAAGGAAGTTTCGCTCATGTTCAATGAATGGAGTATTGAGCAGGCGTTACATGTCATTTTTTCAGAAAGTATTTAGTGGCGTTGGGAATCTTAATGATGTAGGAGATTAAAAACAGGATGAAAACAACCAAATATAGTGTGATCTCAAGTTTTAAAAATCTGTATGGAAAAGCAAGATAGAATGAAATACTTTGATCTATTAGTAGTGTTTATCTATGAGTGGTAGTGTAATGAGTAATTTTCTTCTTTCTCCTTTTCTATATAATTTTCTAGTACGGCTATGTATTATGTTTATGATTTAAGGGAAAAAAATGTGATTACAAAAGTCTGCTTTCCAGTTGTGGGCCTGTTCTAAAAATGAGATGTGGTGGTTGAAGGCATCAGAAGTCAGGTTTTTGGGTCAAGAAGACGCCAATCAATGGAAAGTGGCTGAGGTTGTAATAATGACCCCCAAATTGCCCCTTGATTATTTTTTCAAGTTGCTTGACTTTACTGGCTTTTGAGTTTCGAGTTTCCTTCCAAACCTTTCTCTTAGGAAGCTCCATCCTGGATTTTCAGAACAGTGAGTTCCGATTTTCCTCATTCATTCAGTGAACAGTTTTAAGTGGCTAATTTGGTTCTGTCTGGGAAGTTCGAATACAGCCATAATGAGGTCACCCCTGCCCCAAGGAGCAGAAGTCGGAGGGAACTGGAGCTCCAGTTTGGTAACAGAACAGGTTAGGGGAGCCCCGACCCGTTCTGTCTACGCTGCGTCGGTGTGACTGCCCGCCTCTCTTTTATTTTCATCCAGCCTCCTGATGATTCTGAGACTTGTCTTTCTGCTGCTCTGAGAATCGGAGGAACCGAACACTCACTTCCCGTCATTCTGCACCGTCCGGCAGAGCATACGCTATGTATTTAAAAGATAAATTTGATATGGAATGTTTAGTGTCTTGTTTTATGTTAGAAACAAAAGACACACTGTCACCTCTAATATGAACACCAGTTTGATGTGTTTTTTTTTAAACAAAAACTTTGTTTTCCAGTTGTTGGGTCCTGTTTTCATTAAAGATGTCTAATGAATTGTGATACGCTTTCATTTGCATCTCTAGTTTTATATGTGTGGTGTTTGTTAATAATTCCAAATACACATCTGAAGAAAGTTTACATTAAACCGCAGCTTATCAGATAATGGAATGCGCTCAGTGGACTGCCCAGAACGCTGATGTATCAATTTGTCATTTGTGTTATATTAGAAATTATTAGAAATTGTATTTTTTCTGTTTTAATTGTATTGCTGCCATTGTTATTTTTTCCTTTGAAAAATCCATTCTCAGCACAGTGTGTGTACTAACAATGTATTTAGTATTCAGATAAAAGGCACTCTGTTTTGAGCCTATTCCTTTCATTTTAGTGTCTTCTCTGTATACACAAATCATCCTTGATATTTAAAAGTTTGATTATTAATGAAAGAGGTTGGGAAGGAGGGTTATTTAAGCCAGAACTCTTCTTCAGGAACAAGTATTCTCTTTTTCTCTCTTTCTGTGAAACAGTAATAAGTCTGAAACAAAAATGATTTTGTGTCAGATTGCCACTTCCTTTTTGGGCACCGTTCTGACTTTTAGTGCCCAGCGCACTTTGAGGGCGCAGCCTGACCATCAGGAGACTGGAGCCCAGCCCGACTCTTGCTGACCGGATGATCTTCGGAGGTCATTTCCTCTCTCTGGGTCCCAGTCTCTCTTCCTTAAGGCAGTATTTGGACTAAATGATCGACAAGACCCCTTAGGGCTCTAAAGATCCGCATTTCTGGTCCTGTTGGCTCTGTGCAGTGGTTCAGATTGCAAATCCTTTCTTTAAATGAAACGGTGGGTGGAGCTCCCAGCTGACAACAGCCGAGTGGATAGGTTGTGTTCAGTCACCTTGCCCAATTCACTTTCAAGGAGGTGGTTAAACTTCTGGTGATAAGTAATTCAATTCAGGAAAGAAAGAAAGAAAAACACTACTAATTTTACCAAATAGGAAACCCAAACAAAATCCTGTGATATACTTTGAACATATCCAACCCTCCCCCCTAATCCTAATGGTGCCAAAGAGCTTGTTACACAAGCAGGTTGTCACTGGGGCGTTCCACACACTTGCTGAGTGTCAAAGGTGATGGAGAAAGACCATCAGATTCTGACAGCCGACAGCTTATACTCAACTGTGATTAGGATCCTGAAGTAGAAACTAAATGAGAACTTGATCCTAGAAATATATACTGTATGTGTAAAATACTCTAGTGAGTGAAAGGGTAAGAAACTAGTCTGAAGCTGTGCTGTGTCCTGGACTTTTCCCAAAAGGTGGTGGGAGCGGGTAGTGGTGATGTGTGTGTGCTTTTTTGGTTGGTTTTTAAACAAATCCGTCATATCCATTTGCTTACTTATGACTTTTCTCTTTTGCAATAGGTAGGATGCAGAAGAATTCTTTTTTGGGTCATTCTGATTAATTGGTGTTTTCCTGTCTTACGAAAAACAAAAGGTTTTTGTCTGATTTATGACAAGTATTAGGTAGTTTATTGCCTTATGCTTTTTATCACTTTATTAAAATGGCCTTATGATTTCCTTCTGGGTACTGCTACAAATGTGAAGGGGAACAGTTTACTGAGTTCCTTAGACCTCATTTGTTAATACTCCGCTACTATAGTGCCCATGTTTTTAAGAAACATGCCACGTTCAGATTTGAAAATACTCTTCACGGTTTCAATGGAGTCTTCATCTAGGGGAGGCTTCCTCTGGCTTCCAGGCTGGAGAAATTTGTTAATTGTGGGAATGTGGCTGATTCTGGCTTTGAATTCCTAAAATGCAAAAGTATATTATTCATGAGAAGAGAATATAGCAAAATAAACAAAGTAAAATATAAACAAGGAACATTTTTGCATAAGAGAAAAAGTGTTTGTATTTCTCATTGCTGGTAGAGGCAGGAGATAAAATGGAATTTTTATACATTTTGTGGCATTGCAACGTGATGCTCCCCTTGTAGAAAGCAAGTTAGCAGTATTTCTCAAGAACCACAAAATGTTCATATGCTGTAACCAAGTGATCCTATTGTTAAAATTGTATCCTAATGATGTAATCTTGAATGTGGAAAAATCCATACCCATGAAGATGCTGTTGTAACATTATTTACAAAAGCAAATATTCCAGAGTATCCTGATGTATAACTAATAAAGAGAAGTCCTCATTTTTATTATATCTTAAGCATTTGTTCATGTTGTTATGTACTCTTTGAAATTGTAGCTAAGTGGCTGCATAAAATTCTGTATGATGGATATAGCCTCATTAGTTAGGTATTGAAAAATTAGGTCGTTTGCAATTTTCATTATTTAAAATAAGATTATTCTGAGCACAATAAATGGAGTATTATATAACTGTGAAAATTTTCAAAAATATGTATAAAACAGACTTCATTGTATAAAAATGAGGCAGACTAACAATACCAAAACATGCTTATAATGTATTGTGAAGTGGAAAATCAAGGCTGCAGAATTATCATAACTCAGATTACAACTATTTTAAATAAGTATATTGTTAAAAGGCTGTAAAGAAATCTACCAACATAGCAAAGTATTTTAGAATCCAGGCCGTGGAGGCAAAGGTTTGAGTGCCAGCCCTGTCACCTGCTAACAGTGCAACCTAGGGAAAGTTACTTAACCCCTCTGTGTCTCCTTTCCTATCTACTCTGAGGATGGAATAAAATAAATGAAGTCATGTGCATTCAGTGCTTGGGACAATGCTTGGCATGTAGTAAGAGCAGAGTCAACGGTTATGGTTATTAAATAATGGCTATGTTAGGATTATATTAAGTGTTTTCCCCTCACCTTATCTAGAGGTAAGTGGCCACTTTTGAGTTTCTACTACATTCCAGGCAAAGTCTTTGAGATGTAACTCCTGCAAGAAGCCTGCCTTAAATCCCCATGCTGGCCTGGGTGACTCTCATCTACTTTCCCGGATCATTTTACTTTTTAATTTGCCACATTATGTAGAGGTTATCTCTGTGCTTGTCTCCCCCACTAGGTGTGGTCCTTGAGGGCATCTGTATCTCTAGCACAGGTTTTGGCATAAAGAAGTCAGCAGGTTCTTAAGTGATAATGAATGACTGAATGAAAGAATGAATGAATGATACACATTCATTCTCCCTGTGGTTCCTGGGAGCCGTTTGGGTAGCATGACCTGTAGCGGAGGGAAGCCCGAGAGGGTGCTGGGTTTGCACTCTTCAGTCACTAGGATGACTTCAAGGAGCCGCCTATCAGCCCAGCTCAGCCAGTTGCCCACGAGAAAATCTTATCTTGCCCGTGGTCTCTCAGTGCATGCGTGATAGTTGAGAAGGAGAGGATAGAGGATTCGGGGGCATACCTAGCATAGAATTTAAAGTCAGTGTGATTTGGCAGAATGTCTTCTAGAAGTTGAGAAACTGGTTCCTGATCTATTCTGTGCCACTGGCTGTGTGAGCTGAATAAACTCCATCTCTCTGAGGGCTTCAGTTTATTCACCTAAAAGAGGTGGAATAGCTTAAATCCTCCTCGCGTATTCTCAGCCCTGGAGACAGCTCAATCTTGTGGCCTTCGTGTTCATTCCATCTCCCTGTACCTACTCTACGAATCTTCACGAAAGGTTTCCCCACCGTAGCCTGGCCTGGTGGCTCTTCCAGGTCCATGGTGATATTCTCTCCTGGCACCATCTCAGGGCAGGTTCCTTAGCTGTGCTGCTCTTTGCAGGGAGAATGTCATTCTCACGGGAACCCAAACCTCTTTTATAAGCAAATTTTCTTCTAATAGGGTCCTGACTTATGGGTCACTTTAAGTCAAAATCAATTGAATACAAAATGAAAGATTGGAGTTGGAGGACACTAAGGTATATTTTAGCCCTAAAATTCTATGATTTCGTGATGGTTGGGCATGGGACCAGGAGTTAGAAAGACTTGAGTACAGGCTCCAACTTTGTATGACATTGGGCAACTTGTTTGCTTCCTTAAGCTCTGGTTGCCTCATCTGTATGGGGATAAAGCTCTTTCATGGGGTTCTTATTATGATGAGATGGGACCACGCCTGCAAAATGCATAGCACAGCTCTTGACATGTACGTAGTAAGCCCTTGGTAGAGGGGAGCCCTCATTACAATTAGCTAGCGCTGTTGTTAGTGATGATGTTATTGTTACTATTTTTAGCCAGGAGGGAAATCTCTGTACTTTGTTGTATCCCACAGCAGAAACTTCAGTCATTGGGAAGGGTGGTGTTAATCATCCATTCCCTTGTCAGTATTGGAAAAATTATAAGATAAAAATCTCTTCAGTTATATGCTAATTACAAAGGAGTATGATATCTTTTAAGTGCTTTTGAAGGAATGATTTGGAGAGAGCCTGAAGTATAGACTATTCACAGTTTGATTCATCTTCCATCTTGGACCAACGGGACTGATAACTCACTAAGTGTACCTAAGGGCAAGTACCACCTTGGAAGTTACAGTATCTATAATGCATCAAATATGTAAGTATCAATTACATAATCTGCATTACATGCTAGGCTCTAACATTGTTGATTTGATAAATATTTTTTAATGTATGTATTAAATCATTCAGTCCAAATTATCATTACTTAACCCAGAAAGGATGGATTAAACCAGCATTGCAAGTGAGTTTGGAAAATTTACCTGGCTCATGTTTTACCAAACTCTAACATTTTTCATGATCCTTTCCTGCATTTACTGATTTTACGATGAAAGCATCTGGAGAACAAGAGCATTGATAACTAAAGTCATCCAACCCTTGTATTAGGGGTGGCACTAAGTATTTGCTTAATGCGCAAGCTTTTTCAGACATTATTTTTCAGCTGTTAAAAATGCAGAGACAAATGAAAAATAGTGTTATTATTAGAACAATTTTTTCTTGAATTTCAGAATATTGTGTAGAATTTGGCTAAGCCTTATAAACTTCTCTGAGCCCTGGTACTATCTAGTGTATTTTACAAATAATATCCATTTTTCCCCCCTTAGCTCTCTAATTAGTGTGGAATCTGCCCCCACCCAAAAATCCTCTTCACAAGGCTCTATTTTACTCTGGAATTAAATCAGGCAACTGAACTTCTGCCAGCACCAGAGCCACAAATAGTGCTGAAGTTATGCATTAATTAAAGAAAAAAAATTCAATCCAGAACCAGGATGGGAGGTGGAAGGGCAGATTGGTTTGTAACTGCAGTTGGGGGAAGAATTTTGCTTTCACAAAGTGTTTTGGGATCTTTCGTGTACAAATAAAGTTGTTTTATCTATTTTCAGTTTCGTTGGTTTTTCTCCCGCTTGACCCGAGTCATAGAGTAGGGCAGAAGTCTGTTGCTTACCTTCTCGTAGCCAGGGAAGAATCTTGTAGTGGCTCTTTCAAGGATGTATTCCAGATTCTTCTCCTTCTCTTCAGGCAGAGAGAGTGGGAAGAACATAATCCTGTCATTCAGGTCCTTCAAGCCTTCTACACACATGTCAATCCTGGAGAAAGGGTGAAATTCAAAAGAGTTTCACATAGAGGGAACTATCATTTCATGAGCCAAAGAAACATTTTAAGTAATGCCTCGGTTTCACCTGCCTGGTTATGAGATGTCTCAATGTTCCGTGAGCTAAAGTCAAGTGTTTCTATCTGCTTTCTCTTCCTTTGAGATATTAAGAAAGATCAATGTGGGAGATAGAAAAATTATAGGCCTGAAGTATGTGAGCGATTATGTGTGTGTGAATATCAACTAATTAACACCCACACAAAGTATTAAAATAATCCCAAAGTAATAAAGTGGGCAAAGATCGTATTTGGCTATTTAAATGTTGTACTAACAGTGAGATCATAGGTAACTAAGGACTTCTGTACTGCCGACATCGTCTCCATCGGGTTTGGAGGTTCTCAGATTTCATCAGTAGGGGCTGGTTCCGTGGCCGAGTGGTCAAGTTCACGTGCTCCACTTTGGTGGCCAGGGTTTCACTAGTTCGGATCCTGGGTGTGGACATGGCACTGCTCATCAGGTCATGCTGAGGTGGCGTCCTACATGCCATAACCAGAGGGACCCACAACTAAAATATACAACTATATACTGGGGGGATTTGGGGAGAAAAAAAAAATATATATATATAAAAATATTAGTGCTTTTCTTTTCCAAGCCTTCGTTTGAAGCTTAGGAAGCCCAGAGAGGTTAAGTGACTTGCCTAAAGTCCCTCAGCTAAAGGGTGGAAAAACGGGTAGGATTCCTTCTCTCCAAGCCCCCTACATTTTAGATCCTGTCATTTGGTAAATGCATCCTTTGTATTTAAATAATTTTTATAAGAAGAAGCCATATTCCAAAGTTGATACGAAATATGAGAATACTGATAGGGATAACCAGAGTATCAAACATGGCTTCCCCAAAAGCCTTTTCTCTTAAACTTAAAGATTATTTATGATTTTCATGAAGTGTGATGAAAAGCAGCATATGTTTATGATTTCAGTTTCTCCCATCAGGAACTCCGGGGTGCCTGTCACTGTCTGGCATGGCCAGGCTCCAAGAGCTTAGAGAGCTGAGCCCCACCTCCAGTTTTGAAGGTGCTCCTGACCAGGTTACGTGTGGAGAGCCGCTGGGCGGAGGGCACGTCTGGGTGTGACTGTGAAACAGCATGGGTACAAAAACCCTTCAGACTAGATACCATTCGAGGAATTTTCTGGTAGATTAAATTGAGCTTTGCCAGATCACACAGAAATGACTTCCCGCCTTATGTTTTACTGGTCTGTTTTCTTCTATTTTGTCTTCTGATGAAAGGTTTACGTGTGAGGGGCTCTGTAGGCACTGCAGCGGCTCCCAAGGTAGACAAAGCACAGCCATTTAGCAAAGTTCTGTCCTCTAGAGCAAGGTGACTTCACTTTTGAAAATCTGCTGTCTCACATCAAAAGGAAAATTCAGGCCCAGAACGTAGATATCGACTACAGAATTTTCTTCTAACTCTGACAAGATATCATGGTGCCAACCCTGAATATAGAAACTGGGGAATCAGAAGACGCAAGAAAGAGCTTCATGTGGCACAGAAAGGAGAATTGGCCTTTTATTGTTTTAACAAACTTAGGTCATCAGAAGAAGAAATGACAAGTTCAAGTTAAAAAAAAATTTGTACTAAAAAAATATGTAGTGTGCCCTAAAGACCTTGGAGTCTTTATAGGTAGCCTTTGCGCTCACATCCTCTCCTGTGTGTTCTATCATATTT